GCATAGGTATGATAAAGCTCACGGTTCAGGGAGAGTGACTTAGTAGCGACCAGTGAAGAGGCGGGGGCCGGGAGCTAGGACTCGACCCCTGCAACCTCAAGTAGGTGAGTACAACTAGGCGAGTACAAACACACACACACACACACATACACACACACAAACGCACAAACACACACACACACGTGCGCGTACACACACACACACGCACACACACACACACACACACACACACACACACACACACACACACACACACACACACAAGAGTACAAGAAGAGTACAAGAGGGTGTTCCTAGACAGAGACTGAACAAAATCAGAACGACAGCAGCTGAGGGAGAGGACAAAAAAGCGAAAGGAGCTAGGAAAAGAGACAAGGATGGAACCAGCAGAGGTCAGTCAGAGCAGAACAGAACAGCAAGGGCAAGCACACACACAACTATTCTCAGAACCATACAACCTATCACACCATCCCAACACACACTACAATCCATACCCACAGCCTCCACCCAACACCGAGCTATAGAATCCCACAGTATGCCACCAGGTCTCCCACCCTCACAGGCCCCCAAACCACAGTGTTGGAAAGGAAACTGAAGGTATGGTACACAAACGCTGATGGAATAACAAATAAGTGGGAGGAGTGGCATGAAAGAGTCAAAGAAGCATCACCGGACATCATAGCTCTCACAGAAACCAAGCTTACAGGTATGATAACAGATGCCATCTTTCCAACGGGATACCAAATCCTGAGGAAAGACAGAGGGAACAGGGGGGGTGGAGGAGTGGCGTTGCTGATCAAAAATCGCTGGCTCCTGGAGTTCAATCCCACCAAGTGCAAAGTCATGAAGATTGGGGAAGGGCAAAGAAGGCCGCAGACGGAGTACGTCTAGGGGGTCAGAGACTACAAACCCCACTCAAGGAAAAAGATTTTGGGGGTGAGTATAACACCAGGCACATCTCCTGAAGCGCACATCAACCAAATAACTGCTGCAGCATATGGGCGCCTAGCAAACCTCAGAACAGCATTCCGACATCTTAATAAAGAATCATTCAGGACCCTGTACACCGTGTACGTTAGGCCCATATTGGAGTATGCGGCACCAGTTGGAACCCACACCTAGCCAAGTACGTGAAGAAACTAGAAGAAAGTGCAAAGGTTTCCAACAAAACTAGTCCCAGAGTAAAGGTATGTCCTACGAGGAGAGGTTAAGGGAAATCAACCTGACGACAACTGGATGCAGAGAGATAGGGGACATGATAACGACATACAAAAACTGAAGGAATTGACCAAGGTGGACAAAGACGGATGATCCAGAGATTGGACACAGTAACAAGGGAACCACAGTTGGAAAGTGAAACAGATGGAATTCACAAACGCTATGGAATAACCAAAATAAGTGGAAAGTTGGGAAGGAGTAAGAGAAGCATCCATACATAGCTCTCAAGCCCAGAGGTATGATAAAGGCCTCTTCAACGGATCAGGGAGAGGACCTAGTAGGAACAGGGGGTGAAGAGTGGCGTTGGGCAGGGCTCGGAGTCAACCCCCGGCAAATCATAAGATGAAGGGGTACAAAAGGCCGAGACACAACACACACACACACAAAATCACCAAGAAAGACAATAACCACCAGGCACATCTCCTGAAGCGCACATCAACCAAATAACTGCTGCAGCTATATGGGCGCCTAGCAAACCTCAGAACAGCATTCCGACATCTTAATAAGAATCGTTCAGGACCCTGTACACTGTGTAGGGTTAGGCCCATATTGGAGTATGGGCACCAGTTTGGAACCCAACCTAGCCAAGTACTGAAAGAAACTAGAGAAAGTGCAAAGGTTTGCAACAAACTAGTCCCAGAGCTAAGGGGTATGTCCTACGAGGAGAGGTTAAGGGAAATCGACCTGACGACACTGGAGGGACAGGAGAGATAGGGGGGACATGATAACGACATACAAAATACTGAGAGGAATTGACAAGGTGGACAAAGACAGGATGTTCCAGATTGGACACAGTAACAAGGGGACATAGTTGGAAGTTGAAGACAGATGAATCACAGGAATGTTAGGAAGTATTTCTTCAGCCACAGAGTAGTAAGTGGAATAGTTTGGGAAGCGATGTAGTGGAGGCAGGATCCATACATAGCTTTAAGCAGAGGTATGATAAAGCTCACGGCTCAGGGAGAGTGACCTAGTAGCGATCAGTGAAGAGGCGGGGCCAGGAGCTCGGACTCGACCCCCGCAACCTCAACTAGGTGAGTACAACTAGGTGAGTACACACACACACACACACACACACACACACACACACACACACACACACACACACACACACACTCACCAGGAACATCTCCTGAAGCGCACATCAACCAAATAACTGCTGCAGCATATAGGCGCCTAGCAAACCTCAGAACAGCATTCCGACATCTTAATAAGGAATCGTTCAGGACCCTGTACACTGTGTAGGTTAGGCCCATATTGGAGTATGGGACACCAGTTTGGAATCCATACCTAGCCAAACACGTAAAGAAACTAGAGAAAGTGCAAAGGTTTGCAACAAGACTAGTCCCAGAGAAAAGGGGTATGTCCTACGAGGAGAGGTTAAGGGAAATCGACCTGACGACACTGGAGGACAGGAGAGATAGGGGGGACATGATAACGACATACAAAATACTGAGAGGAATTGACAAGGTGGACAAAGACAGGATGTTCCAGAGATGTGACACAGCAACAAGGGGACATAGTTGGAAGTTGAAGACACAGATGAATCAAAGGGATGTTAGGAAGTATTTCTTCAGCCACAGAGTAGTCAGGAAGTGGAATAGTCTGGGAACCGATGTAGTGGAGGCAGTATCCATACATAGCTTTAAGCATAGGTATGATAAAGCTCACGGTTCAGGGAGAGTGACCTAGTAGCGACCAGTGAAGAGGCGGGGGCCAGGAGCTAGGACTCTACCCCTGCAACCTTAAGTAGGTGAGTACAACTAGGCGAGTACAAACACACACACACACACTGGAGGACAGGAGGGTCAGGGTAGACATGATAATGACATACAAAATACTGCGTACAATAGACAAGGTGGACAGAGACAGGATGTTCCAGAGATGGGACACAGAATCAAGGGATCACAATTGGAAGCTGAAGACTCAGATGAGTCAAAGGGATGTTATGAAGTATTTCTTCAGTGATAGAGTTGTCAGGCAGTGGAATAGTCTGGCAAGCGACGTAGTGGAGGCAGGAATATACATAGTTTTAAGACGAGGTATGATAAAGCTCATGGAGCAGGAGGAGAGAGGACCTAGTAGCGGTCGGTGAAGAGGCGGGGCCAGGAGCTGAGTCTCGACCCCTGCAACCACAATTAGGTGAGCAATTAGGTGAGTACACACAAAGGTGCTAAAGATAGACATACATTAACAACAACATAATTAAAACATCATAAGGTAAGTTCAGCAGTCGTGTCAACACATCTTTAAAACTCAACTATTTTACCTCTCAATTTTAAAGAAATATTTTTTTTAGCTAACTGAGTTTCATTTATGACTGCTAAAATATTTAATATATTTAACAAGTAATACGCAAACACAAAGAAATCCTGAAGTTTATCTGTGTAAACTTTAACCTGAGTTTACCAGTGTAAACTTTAACCTGAGTTTACCAGTGTAAACTTTAACCTGAGTTTACCAGTGTAAACTTTAGCCAGAGTTTACCAGTGTAAACTTTAACCTGAGTTTACCAGTGTAAACTTTAACCTGAGTTTACCAGTGTAAACTTTAACCTGAGTTTACCAGTGTAAACTTTAGCCAGAGTTTACCAGTGTAAACTTTAACCTGAGTTTACCAGTGTAAACTTTAGCCAGAGTTTACCAGTGTAAACTTTAACCTGAGTTTACCAGTGTAAACTTTAGCCAGAGTTTACCAGTGTAAGCTTTAGAGAGAGTTTACCAGTGTAAGCTTTAGAGAGAGTTTACCAGTGTAAGCTTTAGAGAGAGTTTACCAGTGTAAGCTTTAGCCAGAGTTTATCAGTGTAAGCTTTAGCGAGAGTTTACCCGAGTTTATCAGTGTAAGTTTTAGCGAGAGTTTAAACGAGTTTATCAGTGTAAGCTTTAGTGAGAGTTTACTAGTGTAAGCTTTAGAGAGAGTTTACCAGTGTAAGCTTTAGAGAGAGTTTACCAGTGTAAGCTTTAGCCAGAGTTTATCAGTGTAAGCTTTAGCGAGAGTTTACCCGAGTTTATCAGTGTAAGTTTTAGCGAGAGTTTAAACGAGTTTATCAGTGTAAGCTTTAGTGAGAGTTTACTAGTGTAAGCTTTAGAGAGAGTTTACCAGTGTAAGCTTTGGAGAGAGTTTACCAGTGTAAGCTTTAGAGAGAGTTTACCAGTGTAAGCTTTAGCCAGAGTTTATCAGTGTAAGCTTTAGCGAGAGTTTACCCGAGTTTATCAGTGTAAGCTTTAGTGAGAGTTTACTAGTGTAAGCTTTTGCGATAGTTTACTTGTGTAAGCTATAGCCAGAGTTTATCAGTGAAAACTTTAGCTACAATTTTTCTGAGTAAACTTTACATACAGTTTATCTGTGTAAGCTTTAGAAAAAGTTTACTTGCGTAATATTTAGCAAAAGCTTACCTAAATAAGATTTAACAAGAGTTTACCTGTGTAAAATTAATTTAGTGTGCAGTGTGTTAAAGAAACCTATGAGAGAATATTTAACCACCTCTCTCTCTCTCTCTCTCTCTCTCTCTCTCTCTCTCTCATTATGCATCGTTTATTATTCACGTCAATACTTAAATATTGTAAAAAAATATCCACAGCTTTAAAAAAAATCTTAAGACATGAGAACGCATGGTTGGTTTTCTTGTGCATGATGTAGCTTCCTAACACACAAACACAATCATCTTATTTTTTGTGTGGGGTATAAAAATGTAGTTTACGTTAATAAAATATTGTTAAACACAAAAGCCAGCAGCGATGCGTGTGCATTACTGTTAGGTTGAGTATTACTGGAGTACTCACAGGATCCGCAGCTGGCTGAGGCCCGCCAGGTCAGAGTAGTATACTGCTGTCAGCTCATTTCCCTGAAGATCACTGAAAAAAGAGGAAAAAACAAGTTAATAGCGTTATCGTTGAGTTTAAGTTAAACATATACAAAGAGTGCGTGTTTTTGTGCTTACTGTACGCAGGGTGGAGCTTTTTCACACACACACACACACACACACACACACACACATGATCTATACATTGCTTTAAGAGATACGTTAAGGCTCTCGAAGCCAGGAAAGTATGAGTCCTGTAGCAGGCAAAGAGGTGGGGCCAGGAGCTGAAACTCAACCTACCAACCACTTTAAGGTGAGCACATACAGATGAGTGCAAACATAGAACAGCAAAGACTAGCAGCGACCAGCGAAGAAGCGAGCCAAGAGCTGTGATTCGATCCCTGCAACCACAAATAGATGAGTACACACACACACACACACACACACACACACACACACACACACACACACACACACTCACACACACACACACACACACACACACACACACACTCACACTCACACTCACACACACACACACACACACACACACACACACACACACACACACACACGCACACGCACACGCACACAAACACGCACACGCAAACACACACATACAACAGGCCTAGTGTCTAATCGACATGTGCCTAGGACAAAATGGTAACACACACACACACACTGTTGCAACCCCTGAATGGTTGCAATGATTATGTATATATATAATGTATATTACCTTTTCATATAATTTTATATTGCTTATATTTGCGATAATAGCTAAATCGTAAATGTATTGCTTTATATTGTTATTTGACTTATGTTGTTAGGATGTAACATATTAAGTGCTCAGTTCAAGTCTTGATTGTCAAACTACTGTAATTATCGCTTGTAGCTCGTTAGACTGCCGGCTTCTGAGCTGCAGTTGTCCACGTAGCTATCACGTGATCGAGGGGGGGGGGTGTCCTCACCTTGCCTAAAGTATTCAGTCTGCTCTAGACTCTCTTGGTCAGATTGTCTGTCTCATTATTCTTGTTAGTTCTGTAGAACTCTGTTCACAGAACATTGTATAGACTTAGTGATTTTCGACGTTGTATTGAGGTTGTGTGTCTCATAGACACTCTGAGTAACTCAGGTCCTGAGCTGTAACTTCTCACTTAACTTGTACTGGTTTCTGTGTATTATCACAGTCGGGGATATTCTTATACTGAACTTAGATTCAGTAGTATGGGAGTTTTGTGACTTTTGTGGAGGATCTGCAGATGGTCCCTACTTAGTGTCGTTATATTATCTCCTTGTTCCTGATTCTGTGTCGCAGTTGCTTGTTGTGTTGCTATTGGGCTTAGCATTCTTTTTATTGTTCAAGCAGACTGTTCTGGTTGCCAGTTGGTTAAGAAGTTAGTTTATGTGAGGACTTTGTCCGTCACTTGTTTAAGTCTAGTCGAGTCGTGAGACATAGCGAACTACTTGGAGCACTTACACGCATACACAAACTTGTACATATTTGTAATATCTTATTAAATGTTAATGTACCAGACGGTACTTAAGAATTATAAATGTGATATGTGCTTTCAGCACAATAATACTGTACTCGAGAGAGATTGATATTATTTTGATTACTGTGATTAATTTAATTTAATTTAATTTGATAATATACCTCTAGACTTAATAAATTTATTAAATTTTAATTTCTCTAGTTAGTAGCCTACCAGTTGTAATCCTGAAGCACTATTGAATAATACTGAATTCTAATGGATAATTGGACAAGGATACTGACTACTTGTTACGAAAACCCAGTAACAGGCTGGATGCTAGAAGGGCAGTCCTTTCTAGTATTCACTGGAGATCTCTAAGCTTTTAGAATCGCGTTTTTTGTAACACACACACACACACACACACAACACACACACACACACACACACACACACACACACACAGTATAACTAATAAGAAAATATTTATGCTGTGACAAGAGCGAATAATGAACGACTGTGAGGAGTGTAATCATGACAGGATTGAGAAGCGGACCAAAGAAATAGCAAAGGAAGAATAGGATAGCGAGAGACATAAGAAAGTTCATAGATAGCGAGAGACATAACAAAGTTCATATTTAGGAGGTCAGGACAAAAAGTGAATCAGGAAGAACCTCAGTAAAAACAAGTGAATCAGAGAATACCTCAGTCAAGACAAGTTAAATAATGCAGATAATGCAGGTAAGGAAGGCAGATTTTACAGATCAACAGCAGTACTTAAGTTTCCGTAGAGAGACTAACAAATTACTTGAATGTACAGTATATAGTAAAAGTTTTTTAATACTTGATATAACAGGTCCTGAAAAACAATAAAAGCAGCAGAAATGGAAAACCAGAAAACAGGAAGGGGGCATACCTGGAGGGTGTTCTAGGGGGTCAACGCCCCCCTGGCCCGGTCCATGACCAGGTCTCGCATATACTGGAAAATACCATGAACTGAAAAAATTCAGTACCTCTCCACTGACTTAACCTCGTAAATGGGATCATTTCCAACACACATATCTACATCTACCCTTCAATTACTTCCCTTAGAGTAGATTTACCTACTAGATGTCACCTTCATTTCCTTGGTGAAGTCTCTCAGCCCAGGCTGACACATTACTTTATGAAAGTAGCTTGTGCTACTAGGTCGGATGCACTGCTCCTCCCTTAAGCGACGTGTCTGACCTCACTAGGTCAAGGCATTAGTTTAAGCCGGTGGGAGAACTGGAGCTGCCTCGCATAAGCCAGTAGGCCTGTTGCAGTGTTCCTTCTTTCTTATGTTCTTATTTGTTCCCACAAATTGTGTGTTTCAGAGTAGTTGTACACTGCGGTTATATGTAATTTTTGCTTAATGTTATCGTTTTCCCATTTCCACATCTCTCGCAAACTACCAACCACAATAAGTGACATACAAGCAACCATCCACTTCAGACCAAACAGCTCCCTCCAACACCCAACTCCAAAATCCACAGACTTCCTACACCAAACTCAAGACCCTACAGCCATTTGCTTAAGACTTCATAGGCCCTTCCTCTACGAAACTCCAGACTCACATCCATATCCCACACCCAACTCAGGCCCTCACCAGCTGCGCGCGCGCGCGCGCACACACACACACACACACACAGACTCAGAAGTGTTCCTGTTTGCAGATGATGTAAAGTTGATGAGAAGAATTCAGTCGGACGAGGACCAGGCAAAACTACAAAGGGATCTGGACAGGCTGCAGGCCAGTTCGTAGCCACCTTGAAAAGCATAAATTAATCAACGAATCTCAGCATGGCTTTACAAAGGGGCGTTCCTGCCTTACGAATTTATTAACTTTTTTCACTAAGGTATTTGAGGAGGCAGATCATGGTAATGAATATGATATTGTGTATATGGACTTCAGTAAGGCTTTTGACAGGGTCCCACATCAGAGACTATTGAGGAAAATTAAGGCACATGGAATAGGAGAAATTTTTTTCTGGATAGAGGCATGGTTGACAAATACGCAGCAGAGTGTTTGCATAAATGGGGAGAAATCAGAGTGGGGAAGCGTCACGAGCGGTGTTCCACAGGGGTCAGTGTTGGGCCCCCTGCTGTTCACAATCTACATAAACGACATAGATGAGGGCATTAAGAGCGACATCAGCAAGTTTGCCGATGACACCAAAATAGGCCGTCGAATTCATTCTGACGAGGACATTAGAGCATTCCAGGAAGATTTGAATAGACTGATGCAGTGGTCGGAGAAGTGGCAGATGCAGTTTAATATAGACAAATGCAAAGTTCTAAATGTTGGACAGGACAATAACCATGCCACATATAAACTAAATAATGAAGATCTTAATATTACGGATTGCGAAAAAGATTTAGGAGTTCTGGTTAGCAGTAATCTGAAACCAAGACAACAGTGGTTAGGTAAGACACATATGCAACAGTTAGACAACTTTATTCCGAAACGTTTCGCCTACACAGTAGGCTTCTTCAGTCGAATACAGAAAGTAGGCAGGAACAGTAGAGATGTGAAGACGATGTAATCAGTCCATCACCCTTAAAGTCGTAGAATTTGAGGTTGTCAGTCCCTCGGCCTGGAGAAGTTCAGTTCCATAGTCAGGAACTATCTGAAGATCAAGCGACAGTGCGGAGACTTAAATACTGTCGGAAGGAGAGGTGCAGGGTAGTAGTAGTAGTAGTAGTAGTAGTAGTAGTAGTAGTAGTAGTGAGAGGCAACTGAGAGGTCATGTCCCTCTCAGATCCAACCCTTCTCACTTGAAAAGCTTGTCCAAGGTGTTTTCTGTACCAAGATGCCACGTGTTGCAGTGTCTGACAAGATGAACATAAAAATGGTATACAATACCGACAGGTTGTTAGGTAAGACACATATGCAACAGTTAGACAACTTTATTCCGAAACGTTTCGCCTACACAGTAGGCTTCTTCAGTCGAATACAGAAAGTAGGCAGGAACAGTAGAGATGTGAAGACGATGTAATCAGTCCATCACCCTTAAAGTCGTAGAATTTGAGGTTGTCAGTCCCTCGGCCTGGAGAAGTTCAGTTCCATAGTCAGGAACTATCTGAAGATCAAGCGACAGTGCGGAGACTTAAATACTGTCGGAAGGAGAGGTGCAGGGTAGTAGTAGTAGTAGTAGTAGTAGTAGTAGTAGTAGTAGTAGTGAGAGGCAACTGAGAGGTCATGTCCCTCTCAGATCCAACCCTTCTCACTTGAAAAGCTTGTCCAAGGTGTTTTCTGTACCAAGATGCCACGTGTTGCAGTGTCTGACAAGATGAACATAAAAATGGTATACAATACCGACAGGTTGTTAGGTAAGACACATATGCAACAGTTAGACAACTTTATTCCGAAACGTTTCGCCTACACAGTAGGCTTCTTCAGTCGAATACAGAAAGTAGGCAGGAACAGTAGAGATGTGAAGACGATGTAATCAGTCCATCACCCTTAAAGTCGTAGAATTTGAGGTTGTCAGTCCCTCGGCCTGGAGAAGTTCAGTTCCATAGTCAGGAACTATCTGAAGATCAAGCGACAGTGCGGAGA